ACGGGGCCGACCATACGATACCCTACACAACTACCACGGAATTCTAACTTTCTGCAGATTTTTATTCCGAGCCTGGACGATATTTCGTGATAGTTGCACCATCTTGCCCGATTAGAGGTCAACTGCACATCTTCCTTACACTGACATATTTTCCGAATATTACTAATATTTGTTCATATTCCTTTTACCGTGGGTTGTGTTGTGATGTTTGGCATGTCATTATGGTTCACTTCCCAAAATTATTATCTGATCATCACCGAATATTATAGACGTTGTCCTTGACCATAACTGGTATCTCATGTAACATTTCAAAGCGATCAGTGCTAAATTTGCGCCCTCTAGTGTGGTAATGGGTTACTAAATAATATCTGAATACGTAAGCACCTGTAAATATTTAAGCGTATCTCCAACATCCGAGTACATACGACAATATAATTGGTATCAGTTTAAAGGTCAACCACTCTTAGCGGATATACTGTCAACTTCTCGGGTCTATGTCCTTCAGAGATAAATCTATACGCTATAGAATACAAATTTTGTAATTTTTCACACAAATGTCAGGGTCCATTTGACCCGCTAAATATTGACCGATCTTTATCAAAACAAACATGCTTATTCTTTGGCCCGATCAGCTTCTCTATGTAGAATTTCGCGCTAATTTCGGCTTCTAGAGCGACTAGAAAAACCGACAATAATTAAGTATTTGGTCCATTTCATCCCCTAAATATTAACCGATCTTTACCAAAAACAATAGGGGTCTTCTTTGGCCAGAAGATTGGTCCATAACTGTGGCCTGTATCGTGTTCAGAAATTATAATGGACAGACGGATGGACGGACTGACACACATGTCTAGTTCGACTCAGCTAGTCGAGATATGACGATCGGTATACTTAAAGGTTAGTGTAGGACTAATATATCGCGGCGTTATAAACTCTTGGGGCTGCACAAAGCTATAATACCCTGACAACATAGTTGTGTAGGGTATAATGACTTCAAAATGGCGCATAAAATATAAGAACACCCTACATATTTCATATCTTTGCAGTATTTAAAATCACAATAGCATGCAATCGTAATTGCATGTATTATGATCTTAAAATATGGCACTACACGCATATTGGTTGACGACCAAAATCTCAAAAAAAAACTTGAGTTATTTTTTTTTTTTTTTTTGAGATTGAGATTGAACCTGAGTTATTTGGTACATTGTTTGGTATATCTAATCCTGAAACGTCGTCAATCCAATACGCTCCTCCATGTGGACCCTTTGCATAAAATCGGACAAAAATATATGAGGGAGCTATATCTACATCTGAACCGATTTCAACAACAAAATATCGTGCAAATAGAACAGGATCTATGGTGCACCATTTACATAAAATGGGACTAAATTATAAATGTGAACCGATTTAAAACTTAAAAAAACATTCTAGACTAAATTTCTTACTCGCTGCTAAATTTCGTGAATATAGAAGAAACATGGATTCCTCCATTTATTTAAAATCGTTTGATTAACTATATCTAAATCTGAACCTATTTCAACAAGACTTCACGGATGTCAACCCGTAGTAACTTAAATACGATATGCTAAATTTTATCTCAATCGGAAAACATTGACTGCATGGTGCTCCATTTAAACAAAATCGGACGAAACTACATATGGGAGCTACATATAAATCTGCACCGATTCCAACAAAACTTCGCATACATCTATCTGGACCTATTTCAGTTTTTTATGCCAAATTTTTTTTCAATCGGACCAATATTGGCAGTATGGTGCTCCATTTACATAAAATCGGCCGAAACTATATGTGGGAACTATAACTAAATCTGAATCGATTTTCTCCAATTTCAATTGGTCGTCATCCAAGTCGGATCATAAATGCGACCTGTACTTTGTTAACAAAAATACATGGACGGACGGACTGACATGCATAAATCGAATCAGAAAGTGAGTCTATGCATATTCTCCACGTTTGACCAGATCCTCATGGTTTTCGCCCAAAATCTCTCATCTTTGACAAAATCTCTCATCTATGACAACAAAAGAATTAACTGGACATTCAGAATTGTCGATCTAATCACGTAGGCCTTTATAATTTAAAATGTAACTTATGATCTTTCTCGATTAGTTCATCCTCTTAGCGATCTTTCATCTCTAAGTCATTCAGATCTTCCAAATAATATCACAATTGCACCTAATATACAACAACGACAAAAAGTAATTCACTTAGTAACAATAACATTTCTGTTCTACAAAAAGTCCTTATGTAACAAACACCAACAATTCAATGCCTAATTTAGCATTGAATAGTAAAAAACTGCCAAATTAAATTCTATGCTTTGCCATGTAGCATTAAGGGAACACTTTCTTTACGTTGTGTATTTGATCTGTTTGTCTAAGCCAATTTTGGCAAAAGTAGAAAAACCACATCATTTAAATCTTTTGTAAAACCACCAACCGACTGTATCAAATATCCAAAAACTTGAAAATCAAGACAAAATACACATAAGACGGAAACGTTGCCAATTGGGGGGTGGGAAATTGTTAAAGGATATTTACTTAAAGAATTAAACAACATTTGTGGCAAGAATAAAGGTTACCATGGTTTGTCTAACCTACCCGTTTTTTCTGTGTGTGTGTTTTAAAGATTTGAAAATCCTTATGTACATATGAGATTGTGTGTAGGTCTATAAAGCAGATATATGTGTGGTTTATAATCAAAACAGGTTACTGGTGAATGAGTATCTTCACTCCTTGTGGTAGACTGTGTGTCTGTTTGTGTGGGATATTTCCATTTTGTAAAGGTTTTTAGAAGACATTGTATGCCTAAGGACATTTTTTGTTTTTCTTTATTTGTAATCAAAATTTAATTTATGTATCTGTTTTCTATTTAAAATTTATTAGTAAAACAATTATAATTTAATGTTTATATGACATTTAAACAAATTACATGGGTCTGCTGAAATATTAATTTTCATTGGGTTTAGTTGCTTAGACAAAGATATTTGCTGTGTATATTCTCATTATTGTCAACGAAAAAAATAAACAATTCTTCTTCCATCGCATACTATATGATATTTTTATACCCTTCACCACACTGTGGTACAGGGTATTATGTTTTTGTACATATGTTTGTAACAGACAAAAATAAACGAGATAGACACATGGTTCCTTTTGAGAATATGCATAGAATCACTTTCTAAGTCGATTTATGCATGTCCGCCTGTCCGTCCGTCTTTCTGTTTGTTGATGTTAAATTGTAAACAAACTACAGATCACATTTATAATCCAATTTGAATGAAATTTAGTACAGCTCATTTATTTGGCCCAAGGACGAACCCTATTAAAATTTGGAAAAATCGGTTCAGATTTAAATATAGCTCCCACATATATTTTTGTCCGATTTTTGGTAAATGGTGTCCAAAGACCCTGAAAATCTTTCGATTTGCACGAATTTTGGCATAGCGTACTGGACCATGTCCAGAATGATGTGTGCCAAGTTGCGAGAAAATCGGTTCATATTTAGATATAGCTCCCATATATAGTTCCGCCCGATTTTTGGTAAATGGTACACCAAAGTCCCCGAAAATCTCTCGATTTGTACAAGTTTAGCGTACTGAATTAGGTCCAGAATGATGTGTGCCAAGTTTCGCGAAAATCGGTTCAGATTTAGATATAGCTCCCATATATAGTGTCGTCCGATTTAAGGTAAATGGTGCACTAAAGTCTCTTTATATCTTTCGATTTGTACAAAATTTGGCATAACGTACTGAATTTAGTCCAGAATTTCGTGTGCCAAGTTTCGTAAAAATCGGTTGAGATTTAGATATAGCTGATATGAAGTAATTGACGCACCAAGAAACCAATATATGGCTGATAGGAACTAAACGTACCGAAATTAGTATAACTTAACCTGTGACAAGTTTCGTTGAAATCGTTTCATATTTGGGTATAGCTTCCATATATATTTTCGTCCGATTTTAAGTAAATTGTACATCAATCTCCTCATGTTTGTCATATTGACATCAAATTTTCCACAACGTACAAAATTGCGCCTAGAATAACGTAGTTACGTTTTCTAGAAGTACAGACATAGCCCAACGGATGACCTATTGATATTTGTTTGAAGTCGATTTTCATATTTTTTCCCAAACGAATGACATGTTTATGGATAGATCTAGTCCGATTCACATTTATATAAATATCACATATTTTATTTCACCCAATTTCATGTTTATAATGCTATTTAATATACCGATAGTGGTGAAGGGTATCATATAGTCGGCCCCGTCCGACTTTACTACGTTCCTTACTGGTTTCTGTTGCAAAAAAGAAACAATTAGTAAGAACAAGTAAAATCGTAGTTAATCCCGAAATCATATGATACTCAACTACCACGAAACTCTACATTCCGAGCCTGGACAATATTTAGGCACATTTGCACCTCTTGACCGATTAGAAGTCATCGGCTCCTCTTTTTTACCCTAGTATCTTTTCCGAATCTCACTGGTATCTTGACGGATCTTTATATAAAAAGCTATTGGTCAATTGGTCAAACTCCTTTCCAGTTATGTTTTGTTTATAATTGTGGCGTCTAGAGCAACTAAACAAAACATACACCAATTAAGTTTTCGGTTTATTTAATCTACGAAATATCAACTGATCATCTTCAAAAGTTATATTCGTCGCCTGCAAAATTTCCTCTCCATCATATCGACATATGTTCTTCAAATCACAGCGACTTCGGTTGGAAAAAGTGGCTGTTCTATTAGGGTTTCCATCAGACAGGATTGTATAGCTTTTCTGGGACTTGTCTCGTTTCAAGCTAAAATTAAATGTGTCAAGCTAAATTGAAATTTGCAGGTCACTAGAATTACTTGGTTAATAGTAAATATATATAGTTTTAAGGATGATTTTTACTAAACGCTCAAAATATGGACCGATTTTGACGACGCATGGTAGTGTGAAACATGTGTAAAATACCAAAAATAGTACAATACTATACTTCACAGGATCATTTCTGTAGTCAGTCTTCAATTACTTTCATTGCAAAATGGAAAATCTAGTTTTTATACCCTTCACTACACTATGGTATAGGGTATTATGTCTTTGTGTATATGTTTGTAACAGGCAAAATAAATCGAAATAAACCCATTTCTCCTTTTAAGAATATGCATAGAATCACTTTCTAAGTCGATTTATGTATGTCCTTCCGTCCGTCCATGCATTTTTTGTGAAGGGCTTCTCAAACTTTAAACGCGTTTTTCTCTAAACATTTTTTTGCGAATGGCGGGCACGATAACTCAAAAACTAATAATCCAATCGGTTCCAAATTTTGCAACGTTTCTCTGGGAGTGTATAGCTCTCGTATGAACTAGGATAAAGCCAATCGGTGAAGATCTTCCTTATTTTTTAACTTGGTTTTTGGTAAAAAATCGGCGATTTTCCAAAAATATTTATTCAAAGGTCCACCATTTTGTTAATTTTAGAGCGAAGTCAATAATCCTAGTTCATACGAGAGCCAGACATGTCCTCTTTCTAACACCGTTGGAATTTTCGGATTCCGATGTTCCAGTGAGTAGTTATCATGCCCGCCATCAAAAATAAGGACTTTTCTTTAATTACAAAAAACAACAACAAAACAATAACAAAATTTTTTTGTAAATTATTTTTCTTCTCTTTTAAATCTTCAATTATATATGTGCAAAGTTACAAACCTTAACAAGCAGTGGTATTGATTTGCCAGCCCATTGAAAATCTTGAAAAAATAAAATCGAGAATGAGTGTGCTGAATGACGTATGCGAAGTTTTGTTGAAATCGGTTCAGATTTAGATATAGCTCCCATCTATATATTATGTAAATGGCCCACCAAAGTCCCAATATTTTTTCGATTTCCACGAAATTTGGCATGCGTTCAGAACTAAGTCCAGAATGCTGTGTGTTTAGTTTCGTGAAAATCGGTTCAGGTTTAGATAAAGCTCCCATATATATTTTCGTCCGATTTTATATAAATGGTGCACCAAAGTCCCTATATATCTTTCGATTTGCACGAAATTTGGCATAGCGTACTGAATTGAGTCTATAATGGTTTAATGTCCGATTTAATGTAAATGGTACGCCAAAACCCTGTATGTTTTTTAATTTGCACGAAATTTGGCATAGCGCACTGAATTGAGTCTAGAATTATTTGCGCTAAGTTTTATAAAATAATTTTCTTCCGATTGATTGAGCAGTGTACTGAAGTTAATATTAATTATTCTCTGGAAAGTTTCGTTGAAATCGGTTCAGATTTAAATATATCTGTCATATTTTTTTCATCCGATTTTAGGTATATTATTCACCATACTGCTAATGTTTGTCCGATTTGTACGGAATTTTGCTCAATGTGTCAAATTGAAACTGCAACGACGTTATTGTGTTTTTATACCCTTCACCACTCTGTGGTACAGGGTATTATGTCTGTGCATATGTTTGTAACAGGCGAAAGGAAACGATATAGGCACATGGTTCCTTTTAAGAATATGCATAGAATCACTTTCTGAGTCGATTTATGCATGTCCGTTCGTCCGTCTGTCTGTCGATGTTAAATTGTAAACAAAGTACAGGTCGCATTTATAATCCCATATTGGATGAAATTTGGCACAGCTCATTTGTTGGGCCCAAGGACGAACCCTATTGAAATTGGGAAAAATCGGTCCAGATTTAGATATATCCCCCATATATATTTTCGCCCGATTTTATGTAAATGGTGTACCAAAGTCCCTATATATCTTTCAATGTGCACGAAATTTGGCATATCGTAATGAATTAGCTCTAGAATGATGTGTGTTAAGTTTCCTGAAAATCGGTCCCGATTTTGATATAGCCCCCATATATATTTTCGTCCGATTTTATGTAAATGGTATGCCAAAGTCCCTGTATATCTTTCTATTTGCACGAAATTTGGCATAGCGTAATGAATTAGCTCTAGAATGATGTGTGTTAAGTTTCCTGAAAATCGGCCCCGATTCATATATAGCTCCCATATATATTTTCGTCCAATTTTATGTAAATGGTATACCAAAGTCCCTATATATCTTTCGATTTGCACGAAATTTGGCATAGCGATATGAATTAGCTCTGGAATGATATGTGTTAAGTTTAATGAAAATCGGTCCACATTTAGATATAGCCCCCATATATATTTTCGTCAGATTTTATGTAAATGTTGTACCAAAGTCCCTAGATATCTTTCGATTTGCACGAAATATGGCATGGCGTATGTAAATGGTGTACCAAATTCCCTATCTACCTTTTGCTTTGCACGAAATTTGGCATAACGTAATGAATTAGCTCTAGAATGATGTGTGTTAAGTTTCCTGAAAATCGGTCCAGATTTAGATATAGCTGCCATATATATTTTCGTCCGATTTAATGTATATGGTGTACTAAAGTCCCCATATATCTTTAGATTTGCACGAAATTTGGCATAGCGTAATGAATTAGCTTTAGAATAATGTGTGTTAAGTTTCCTGAAAATCGGTCCAGATTTAGATATAGTTCCCATATATACATTCGTCCGATTTAATGTAAATGGTGTACCAAAGTCCCTATATATCTTTCGATTTGCACGAAATTTGACACAGCATTCTACATTATGTGTAGAATTATATGTGTTAAGTTTCGTGAAAATCGGTCCAGATTTAGATATAGCTCCCATATATTTTTTGACACAGAAGTTGGTTTTAAATGCTTTACCATGGAGGGTCCAATCGGTTACTGAAGTTACTATAACATAACGTGTGGCAAGTTTAGTTCAAATCGGATTAGATTTTGATATACCTTATAATTGATTTTCATAATTTTGTCCCTGGTCCTTTGAAAGTAGTACCGAAAGTGGTGAAGGGTATCATATAGTCGGCCCCGTCCGACTTTACTACTTTCCTTACAGGTTTGAAATTGGTGCAGTTGCAGACAATTCTAAATCTGCCCGAATGAAATAAAATTTAGCAAAGATTACAGAAAGGCATGTGCATGGATTGGTTTTAGTCAAGATCACATATTTAAATTCGTTTAATTTCATGTAAATTTTCTTTCGAAAAGGCGACGTCTGTTAGAATACATATGTAGAATATACCCAAAATGGTGAAGGTCCCCGTCCGACTTTACTGCTTTCTTCACTGGTTTTTTATCTCGATATTCTCCGAAGGTAAAATATTAATAATTTTTGGGAGGATGATTTGTTATTATATCCCACTACAAAATAACAAATTACTGGGAATTCGGTTCAAAACCGCATTCAAAACCCCGAAAATACTAAAAATTGGGGGTACCCCTATATGTGGGCTACCCGAAAAAATAGAGATATATTTAAAATTTTTAGTGGAGACATTCGCTACCCAATAAGAACTCAATATACTAACAGTTTAAGTGGGATTACAAGAAAAAGTGGTCATATTTTTATAATTTTTAGCTAATTTCAGCGAATTCGGTTGAAAACGCGTTCAAGAACCCGAAAATGCAGAAAATTGGGAGTGCCCCTATATGGGAGATACCCGAACAAGTTGTCCATATCCTTATACCTCCCATGCCTAAAGGTTGACCTGCCTGCTCTTGCAATTATTTTTCAGTAAATCTGTTCATATAGATCCCATATATGTTTTGAATGTAAATCTTTCTTAGATATATGCAAAATCCGACCGCCATCATTGATCCTATATATTTTCAGTTGTTTTGTGCGTCATCAAAATTAAGATTATTACAACAATGTTTACACCTTTAAACCTTCAATTAATGTTACAACACATTACACATTTTACTTCATTGCTAATCAACATTTTGTCTGCTGACTCAAAGTTTTTTCCATTAATATTTTATCATTCCAGAGGAATTTATAACTTCATGGACAACAAAAAACCTACCCCACAATCCTTTGGCTATGTACTGATAATTAAAAAAAAGTATCGACTTTTTTCCATTTCTCGTGATGGCAAATTTTAATTACACACTTTCAACAACTTTTGTTCTTTATTATTTCTATCTGTCCCGCATTAGGATAACACCGGTAAATAAGGGACATTTTCATAATTTCTAAAAACATCCCGCACACCATTAACGAAGCAACGCCATCGCCAAACCATTTAACCCCTTTTAACGGCAAAGGCCAATACTGAAAAGTTAAGAGTTAGCTGTAAATGCGTAATTTCCATTAATTTAATATTAGTCCTTGAAGGCAAAGAAAATGTCCCCAATGAGGATAAACTGAGAGGCAGTTAACTACCGTTATACGGAATTATCCTCAAACGTTGTTCTTCCGTTGTGTTTTTAAGTCCTTGGGTATTATCCTGTCTGTTCAACAAAAAATGGGAAAAACAGAGCGTGCAACACTGTCCCCCGCCAATTACACATTTTGTAATAAAACATTAACAAAACATTGCATAATTAGGCAGAGCTGCCAAAATATTATTAACGTACCAGGACATACGCTACCTTGAAAACTTTTACGGTGAATGCTTAACTCTTTTTTCGGCCTCTTCTTCAGGGCGACTTGTAAATTTCGCTTGACATATTAATTTGCTGAGTTTAGAGTTTGTACACGTTTACATATTTTTTCCTTTTGTTGTTATTTTAGCCTCCAGGGAAATCTACAGAATTTTGTTTGGAAATATTTACCGTTAATGTACAACCAAAGAAAATTTGGAGAAGAAAATTGTAAATATATGTGTTTGGATGCTTGAGATGTTTAGTTTTTTTTAAATATTTTACGATGACGATGTGTATAACATCCACCACTGGTACTAGTCCTACGATGAGGTTATTAATTATTGAAAATATAGGTCCATGTTTTGTTACATCGCCCATATAACACCTCAGATCCATTCTCGGTATTTTACAGATTTTAATCGCATTTTCCTCTAGGAGAGGATGCCATGTCCCTGTTCTTGGAGTTGTTGTACACCTTGACAGGAAATATTTTATATATACTTTTTTTCCAATCTGAGTGTCTGTAATCTCGTATATGGACTAGGCACCCCACGTTTAAAGGTATAAAAAGTTCAAACCCATTATTGGTATTTTAAAGATTTTA